AAAATCATGATAATACATACGTACCCCTCAGCTTATATTCTCTGAAAGAAAAACCACAGGAAGAAGCGAACAACACAACATACCAACAATGCCTCGCATCTTGCTGATTGTACGTTCTAGGAAAAACCTGAAGACTATGTACATGTAGAATGCAGAATACAGTGGGGTGGGGGATAAAGTGGCTGGTGTGAAATTTGTTTTCTGAGTTTTGAGTAACGAAGCTTGAGTTTACAAAATATGGGGAACTATAAAGGCTAAAAAAAGAGGAATATTTAAAAGTTTCACAGGTAAAGACTGCTGAAATTTGAAAATGTAAATGAATTAAATAGGACCCTAGGGGACTCAGACAATTTTTTAATTGACTCTTCCACCACAGGCTGGCTCTTCCTGCAGATACCCTTCCTTGGAAAAATCTCAACAAATAGAAAGGCAAGCAGCAAGACCCGGGAGGTCACTCTAACCCTGAGGCTTGTTTTTGTCTTCAGAGTTTGATTAAGCTGCGGGGGGGATATGAGCAGGAATCACAACCTGTGGCCCTTTTAAGTGAGATTTCGGAAACCTGGCCAAGAAACCGATACCTAGAGACTTAATTACTGGGATGGCCGGCAAAGCCTCTCCTCTTTGGTCTCTGGAAGGCTTACTTGAGGGCAGAAACACTCCCTTGCCCCTTTCCCCATTCCATGCCTAAATAAAACTCATTCAGGCTATGTGCAAGCACCCCCTACAAGCTTGACAGGAAAGTATCTACTGCCAAACACATATAGAGAATAAAAGCAAGGGGAATCAGGTTCAATTCCACTATTTATTGCCCATCCAGACATGCTTTTCTGCTGGACTAGAGATACTTGGAAATACTGGTAAAAGGCCAGAACCAAGGGGTTTGACTCTGTACTTGGATAGGGCAGAAATTATTGAATAACTTACCTGTTTAAGAGAGGTAAAATGCTTGATTATCCATTTAGAGGGTCATGTTGATTAATTAATCAGTAGCTCTGGAATATTTTAAGGGTTACAAAAGATCTAGGTAAATGTTGAGATTTCTCTCCACTATGTTTGAGAAAAAGTAGCATCTGCAACCAGTTGACTTCCATGTTGGTTTTTTTTTATGGTTTGTAACATGCTATTTGTATCACATGTATTTATAATCCCAATTTATAGATGCAAGAAAACAAGAGGCAAATAGCTTATGCCAACTCACACATTTGGGATTTATTCTTATTGGAATTCATAGTCATTCTGTTTCTAAATTCACTATCCTTACCAGCAGTGCCCTTGGCAGCACTGCCACCTCAGGTCCTCATCTGACATCCCAACCAGAACCTCTGATGGTGGATGTGCATCCCAAAGACCCAGGCTCACGATCCCACATCCCCAAGACATCCTGAAGAAAAGACAATTGAATAGGAAGATAAAACAGCATATTAAGGTCTCAAATAGGTAGTCAGGTCACCTGTGTTTTAGGGGTACTGTCCTATATAGTATCATTTTCCCAGTGTGGAAACAAAGGCACTGAATTTATGTTGCTTAACCTGGACCATGTGTACTGGCAGAAGGTAGCAGCAAAGCAAAATTGCAGGCAAATGGAACACTCTGTTGAAACAATATGGTTCTTCAATAAAGACACTCTGAATAAGAAAGAGCAAGAGTAAAAGCAATACCTACAAACCATGAAGAATATTTTATAATATTATAATTCTTTTATAATATTGTGATTCACAAATAACCATGGATAATATAATTTGTGTTTCTTTTTATATCATGATGAAGTATTACAATGGAAGAGAAAAAAATTGGGGAGTTGGATAAATCCCAAATGTGTGACTTCCATGTTAATATTCAAGGCAGGACTGGCAAAATAGCCCAGCGGATTAAAGTTCCTGCAAGCAGACACAGGGGCCAGGGGTTCAATCCCAGGGTTTGCCTTGCCAGCCCCATCCCTGGGGCATGCTGAGACAGCAATTGAGACTGGATGTGGTGGCGTGTGCCCGTAATCCCAGCTCTTGGGAGGCTGTAAGAGGAAGATCACTATGAGTCTGATCTAGCAGTGAGACCCTGAACACCCTGTGGACACTGTCCTAAAATACAGAAAAAAAAAATTCAAGGCAAACAAGTTAACATCTTAGCTGGAGCAGCACTGTTCCTAAATATTGCCTCCTTGAGGAAAGCTTGGGGAAAACACCTAAGCACTCATGTGCCTGCACACACATTCTATCTCAGGGAACAAGAAACAAAAAATACAGGCCCCATCAAACTACGAAATCCTACATAACAAGCATGAAAATAGCCTGATAATTCAGAAGATGAAATGTACAAAACCAAGCACTTGATGTGGCCCAGGTAATTTTGTGGATTGTTATTGCAGGAAAATAAAGCAATACCTTCTAGCCTGTATTCTCTTTTCTTTGGAGATTACAATAAAGTTTCAGGACCTGCTGGTTGCAATTCTATGCCAAGAATGAGAGCAGAAACTAAGAAAAGGAATCCTATGCTTTCCTTGCAAATATGTAACAGAGTAACACAGTCTCTGAACTAAACCTGCCTGTTCCTTTCTTTCTAAAATATTTTGATTCTCAGGAAATGAGCCGTGATCTCTCACCCTCGTGGCAGCAAGTCTAAGGAAGGATGTTTCTTTAACAATGTTACACCACTTTGGGGGAGTGGGATTTATATGAAATGGGGAATGTTTGTTTGTCTCCCCTCATCTGTGCTTGAAGGAAAAGTGTTCATGTTTTTATTCACTGTATTTCAAACAGCTGTGAAATTATAATCACACCATACAAGCAATTGAAGAAAATTTGAGAAAGAAACACACTTTTGTGGCTTTTATTTGGGGAGGGAGGGTGTGCATATTCCTGTTAAGAACTACACAAAAATTGCAATCACCCTCACACCATCCCAGCAGTTGTTGCACACAAAACAGGGGCTTGGGCACATATTTTCTTGTAAAGTAGCAAATATTTATTTATATGATGTCTGGTAATTCTCATCTGAATATTTTATTATCTTCCTTACTATTGAGCTTCTCAAAAGTAGAGACCATCTTCCTCAGTGCCTGGCACAATGCAACACTCCCTGTTTTTGCTGAAGCTTGAAACCTGCCAATTTCCTTTCCAACCACGTACATAGAATTTACTTCTGTGAATGAATAAAAATGCATCCTCGTTGGTTTCAGAGTGAAAAGCAAATGCTTAAGTAGCCTGAAATATAGTGCCCTAAGGAGTTACAGACTTTCAGTTTTTAGAATGGATATTGAGACAATGATTAAGAAACAAATTATTAACATTTTTTTTTTTAAAATCGCTTGTAAACTGTTTTTCTCCTATGTATGCCGGGTAGCAGCAAACTAATGATGATGTTGTCGTCACTTTTAAGGGTAATAAATTTTTTCCTAAGCAGACCAGAGTATCTACAGTGGCTGTAAACTATGAGATTATACATTCAGATGTTTAACCTGTTGAAGGGCAGGGTAAAATGGTTTTCTTTTCTCTTAGTTTGCCCCTGCCCTCCCTGCCAAGCTTTGATGATACCATCTGATTTATTTGGTATATTCTGAGAACTCCTGAGCATTTGCTGCAAGATTTTCTAGAAGAAATAATGAGGTAGTATTCAGTCAGTAGGTCTTCCCTTGCTGAGAGTACATTTCTGATACATTTATGAAAATCTCTAGCTAAAGCTTCTGCAGAACTGTAGCCCAAAAGAAAAGACCAAGCTTTTACCCAAAGTTTCTCCAAAGAAAAGGAGAGAAATCTGTACAGGACAGAAAACCTTTCTGGGACATTATAAGGATTATATATTTTCTGCCAAGAATGACACTTGA